TAATTTTCGCCCCCTTCCTGGTGACTGCATTATCGCCCGTTTAGTTTCTTGGCGGTTTCTGGGGCCCAAAAGCGGCTGCCAGATTTTGAACACGGTGGAGAGACACTTCTGGCTTAATTTTCAAGATGATGGAGGGCTTTCCTTCTGGGTGTCGCAGACCAACTCGCGAAATTGGTGTCCTTCCGCGATCTTGGCCCCCGGGGTCCGTTCCCTGGGCCCCAGGCCCATGTTTACGATGAGAGCGGTGTTTTTTTTTGAGACGAATGTGTGCGGTACTAGGGTGAGAGCCACGTCTTGCAGTCGGTTAGCCCTCATCAGCGCAACTGTCAGAAGTGCCGAGCACCAATGTCGCCACGCTTTGCGAGGAAATCTCAGGCGAAAAGCCAGCCCAGGCCGCCTTGCCGACACGTGCGGCGGTGCGTCGAGGAGGAGCCAGTCAGAAGGAGGATGGATGTGGGAGGCGGATGAGAAGGACCAGTGTAAACCCACGACTCACCAACGAGGTGGCAATAAACTTTCCCTCCAGGTTTCGTCTTCACAGGCCCCTACAAGAGGTTATTTTCACAGGGAAGTGCCCCGTCTGAGCATAACATTCCCAACCGTGCCAGAGCACAATTCCTGGGACTTCAACACCGCGAATCAACGAATCAACGTTATTGGTGCGACCCAACGATCCTGAAACGTGCCACAAAACCATTTCTAGGACTTCAACACCGCGAATCTACGTAACTGTTGCGCCCTGACAGTCTAACATCGTGCCAAAACGCTGACATAAGAACCCTTGGAACTCTTGTCTTTTTTGAAGGCGACTGTGCGCGGTGCTAAGGCGAGAGCCACATTTTGAGAAGGTACCGCCTTCATCTGTGAAGCTCTAGCGAAATTTAAGGCGGAGCGCTAAGGCGAGAGCCACCTTTTGAAAACCGCCCGCCTTCCATCCGTGAAGCTCTTGCAAACTTGTCAGACGAATGATCTGGGCGTTAAGTCGAGGGCCACATTTTGAAAACGGCATGCCCTCCACCCGTAAAACTGTTGCCACTTTTCAGCTTAAGAACCATGAAGAGGTCGATAGGGCGAAACGCCCAGCCCGCCCTACCGACCAGTCTCGGGGCGCGACAGGGGGGAAGTTATCTAGGGGATGGAGGAGGAGGAGCAGGAGGAGGATGAGGACAGGGAGGCGAAGGAGCAGGAGGAGGAGGAGAAGGAGGAGACGGAGCAGCTAAACGAGGAACAACATGAGCAAGATGATGATAATGATGAGGATGATGCTGATGATGCTGCTGGTGATGATGATGAGGATGATGATGATGATGCTGCTGATTATGATGCTGATGATGCTGATGATGCTGCTGTTGCTGATGATGATGATGATGATGCTGATTATGATGATGATGACGATGATGATGATGATGATGATGATGGTGCGATGATGATGCGATGATGATGATGATGATGATGATGATGATGATGATGATGATGACGATGATGATGATGATGATGATGATGATGATGATGATGATGATGATGATGATGATGATGATGATGATGAGGATGATGATGATGATGAGGATGATGATGATGATGATGATGATGAGATGATGATGATGATGATGATGATGATGATGATGATGAGATGAGATGATGATGATGATGAGGAGGAGGAGGAGGAGGAGGAGGAGGAGGAGAAAGATGAGCAAGAGGGAGGGGGAGGAGGCCGACGGAGGAGGAGGAGGAGGAGGAGGAGGAGAGGAGGAGGAGGAGGAGGAGGACACGCCTGCAGAACCGCAAGCTCCCCCCCCCCCCCCGCCCTGGCGGGGGGAACCACACGCTCCCCCCCCACCCCGCCCCTGCGGGGGGAGGCTGGGCCCAGGGGGTTGGAGACCCTGGGCAGGGCGCGGGGGCGGACAGGCAGGGAAGGGCCTTCCTCCCCGCCTCCACCGCCCACCTCCCCTTCCCTCTCCTCGCCCTCCTGCTTCTCCATCCTTCTCCTTCTCCCTGTCCCTCTTTTTCCAGTTCGTGCTTCTGCCCTTTGGAACACATGCGCGGCCACAACCGCGAGTGCGTACGCCATTGCGTCGAACGGGACTTGAACCTTTGGGACGCTCCGCTGGGCACGGTATCGTGATAGGGGTCGGGTCGGCGAATTCCGTTGCCGTCCCTCGCGGGCGAGGGCGTTCCTCCTCGTGTATCGCCTCCTGCCCCCTCTCTTGCCGTCTTTCCCGCCCCTCCCTGGCATCTGGTCGGGGCAGAGTTGACGAATGATCAACCTACACCCATAACATACCCATACGTAGGGGGGTCGGAGGTAGGAGGACCGGCCATGGGCATGGGTGCGGGTTGCAGGTCCCAAGGGGAGGCTCCTGCCGTCTTGAGGCCACCTCGGATGTGCTCGAGGCCTCTCTGGTTTGCTGGGGCCCTTCTTGGGCCCCCTCCGCCCCCCCCTGCGGGTGTGGGTGTGTGCGCTGCTCGCCCGTCAAGGGCTGCGAGCGGCGCGGCGAGCGCGGCGCCCCCCCAGGCCCGCGCCTTCGCCCAGGGCAGGGAGGTCCTGGTGACGGGGGCGCGCCCGCCCGCCCGGGCAGGGCTGCCTACGATTTTTCGACTCCTCTTTGAGTCGGCTCTGTCGATCGGCTCCGCTTCCGATTCGATTCGGCTTCGGATTCCGCAATGTGGACTCCTCTCCGAGTCGGCTCTTGCGATTCGTCGATCGGCTCCGCTTCCGATTCGATTCGGCTTCGGATTCCGCAATGCGGACTCCTCTCCGAGTCGGCTCTTGCGATTCGTCGATCGGCTCCGCTTCCGATTCGATTCGGATTCGGATTCCGCAGGTCGACTCTTCCTAGTCGGCTCTTTCGATTAGTCGATCGGTTCCGATTCGGATTCCATTCGGCTTCGGATTCCGCAGGTCGACTCCTCCTGGTCGGCTCTTTCGGTTTCGACTCGGATTCCGATTCGGATTCGATTCGGCTTCGGATTCCGATTTGGATCTCGGCTTCGCTGCCTTACTGTCCTTCCGATTTCCGCCGATTTGATTTCTCCCGATTTTGATCGATTCCGATTCCGATTCGATTCGGCTTCGGATTCCGGTTTGGATTTCGGTTTCTCAACGGAGGCCTTCCTAGCCTTCCGATTTCCGCCGATTCGATTTCTCCCGACTTGGCTGCCGATTTCCGCCGACCACATTCATTTCGATCGCCGATCCGGCTTATTATTGATTGAACTCTGAGCTCTCCTGCCCGGGGGCCAGCCGCTGGCGAGGCCGTGTCGTTTGGGCGGCGTTCGGGCGGCATCCGCGGCGGCCTCGGCCTCGGCGGCGGCGGCGGCGGCGGCGGCGGCAGAGGCTCGCGGTTTCGGCCTCGGCGGCAGCGGCGGCGTTGTCGGAGGGCGTCGGCGTCCGCGGCGACGGCGCAGGCGTCCGCGGCCAAAAAAGGATTTCAAAGGCCTCCAGCATTGCCCCAAGAGGGCCCCAACGGCCTCCCAAATGGCTTCCGGAGAGCCCCGCAATGACCCCCCCCAAGAGGCTTCCAAGGGGCTCCCAGATCGAAAGACCCGCAAAGGCCTCGATGGCTAGCTCCTATCGTCGTCGTCGTCGTCGTCGTCGTCGTCGTCGTCGTCGTCGTCGTCGTCGTCGTTATCCTTCGAGTCCCCCTCGTCCCCAGTCCCAGACACGCGACGGCTCGGCGCTTGTGAGTCTCTGGCCGGCAGAGATCTTTCGTCAGAGGCGGAGGGGGTCGGCGGAGGGGGCGGCGGCGGCGGAGGCTTCCCTGGGTGGACGGCGGAGCGCCCGCGTGCCTCTCTGCGGGTGTGCCCTCTGCCGGTCCAGCGAGGATCGGCTGAGGGACCGAGGGGGAGGGCCAGGGCCTGGCTCTTTCAGATCTCGCTCCTCGCGAACGCGTATATGAGCGGTGCAGCCGTGTCCTTCTAAGTGCTCACTCCGGTCGCTTTTTTTTTGTCGAGCCTGGGCAGCGGCGAAGCGTTGGGCCTGGTCCCGTGCAAGGCTGCCTGCACCGCACAGCGCGACGCCACGACGCGCTGCGCTGCGCCGCCTGGCGCGACTCTGCACGGCACGGCGTGCTCGCAGAAACACGTGTGCAGATTCTTGCACGTGTGCGGCCCCTGGGAGTCCGTGCCTTGAAGGCGGGGTGTGCGACGGATGGACTCGCAAATCCAGGCACGCACGTTAACTCTGGAGGACGGAGACAGGCACAGACAGAAGCCGGGCGCCTTCATGGTGCAGCGGCACACAGAATTGCTTTTGAGTTTCCCGACAAGTCGTCAGTAGGCCGTTTAATGTTTATTGGCGACAGGGGTGGGGGCATGGAGCTGGGAGGGCGAGAGAGGGACGAGAGGGGGAACCACAGCTTGTGATCGCTGAAACACTCATGTGCGCAGTCGGCCCGCTGTTGTTTAGGCAGTCCACGCTTGTGGTGAAAATGCCACCTGTGTGGCGCAGACGTGCCATGCTCACAAGTGAGCATTCAGAGGAAATTGTCCTTTGAGAATTGCAATACGTAGATGCGGTCAACTCGCAGTGTACATGGTGGCGGTCGTTGTCGTCGTCGTCGTCGTCGTCGTCGTCGTCGTCGTCGTTGTATTCGTCGTATTCGTCGTATTCGTCGTATTCGTCGTCGTCGTCCTCCTCCTCCTTCTCCTTCTCCTTCTCCTTCGACCCCCCTCGTCCCCGGTCCAAGCATTCGACGACTCGACTCTTTGAGTTTCTGGCCCGCACGTGCTCGCAGATCTTTCTCGACCCCTTCCCCAGGGCCACCTTCTCCCCCAAATCGTTCTTTTGTTCGAAGCTTCCAGGCCAGGGAAACGGCCCCCGATTATCGTTTGTTTGCGAAGTTTCTGGCTCAACTCTCCCGAGTCTTCAGAGGTCCCCATTCTTTTAGATGCGACTCCTGGAAGGTTTAAACCAGTCACCAAACAGTGCTTGCACTCATGGTTTCTTATCTCTTTTCTGTTGGACTCGGCCTGGGTGGTGGTCTGGAGGCTCCGTGCTCGCCTCGCCGCCGCCGTTCCGTGCTCGCCGTCGCCGCCCCGTCGCCCCTTCTTCGCCGCCCGTCGTCTTGGCC